CAAATGATGACTACTCCTTAAAGTTGTATCTTTCTATTTGTCTACAATTTCAGCTGATTCAACTACAAACCCAACTGTCAAAGTGGCGCATTCGTGTGACGCCACACCCATCGAGTACAACGTCACCCTTAAGATGGGACTCCACTCTGGAGTCTTTCAAAAAGTCGGTCGAGTAGACTCCATGGACGACTGCATAGAGATGAGCTGTAAAGAACCACGGAGTGACGTTGCCTTCATGTTAGGCAGCATGTGTTATGCCGTGCACTGTTACAGCGCGGATCTTTGCAAGACTGTCCCTATCTTTGGATCAAGTATTTCTCGACTTAACTTGAATCCTGCAATTTCGTTTCTCAAAAAGAACTCGCAGTTTGGTATAAGCTCTCTTGGTAAGTTCATGCAGGTTACGATTCTGCAATTTATGCACAGACCTAGCTCAAGATATTAGCTAATGATTCGGCTTTTAACATTTGTTTGCTTATTAAATATGCGCATGTCAGCAAATTTGTGGCACACTTAATGTACCGTGTCATGACACCTTGGTGCATATTTGCCCATAGAGGGTCACAATTTATCAAGAAGTTGATGCTAAATCACAGTTGTCTGTAGTAAATATTGTTGATTAGTAATTAACATTTCATTCAAATGTCGGTAGAATCATGTTAATTAGAATTAAGTGTTATTTGAAGGCGTGCGACTAAGATACATCGTCTTTCATTCAAACGATATTTTCTCATTCTTTGTTAGAAAAGAAATAAATCTTTCATCTCTTTCGACATTTGTAGTTACAACGAACAACGACATAGCTCAAGACAAATGTCGCGACAGCACCATCACCTACAACGTGACTTTACGTGGCGGGATTGACGCAGGTATTTCCCTTTTTCAGGCTTTACTTTCTGAGAATGTTTTAACTGCTAATAAACATTTAGAATTGACTTGCGACACATCTTTCGCCTTGATTTCAGGAAATTTTACCGAGAGGTCTGGAGTGCTGTCGATGCGAGACTGTATCGGCAAATGCTGTGACGACACGTCATGTGACCTCGCTTTCATGTTCGGAGATCACTGTTACTCTGTAGAGTGTCAGAGTGAAAAGCTATGTCAAGCTGTGTTGGCCAAACCGTCTCACCTTGAACCAAAAGTGTCCTATGTTTCAAGGGGATTTTATAATGATAAAGACAAAGGTTTGTGTGGCTCGTGTAAAATTTTTAGAGCACTTTTCACCTGACGAGAACTTTGGTAATTACAAATTACAGGATCATAGGTTTTAAGGAGATGTGATACTGAAAAGACACATATCATGTTGCATAACATCATAAAACGAACTCCCTCTCCCATTTTAGGGACAATGTTCTCCGCTAGCGACCAGACGCCGACATGTCGGGCAGATCAAAAGTCTCAGTCCAAGATATTCAGTAATAAGACTTTAGTTGGAGGATTAGAAGCGGGAAGGTTCAGTTTTGAGGGAGTCGTCAGGTACAGTTCATTTAAAAGTTTTATGACAATATTTAAATATATGGTGTGCTTAGTACCTGAACGAGAAATGTGAGTTTCTGAAAAGTTACTCTCTAACGACAGCTGTTTAGCTTTAGCACGATGATAGACCATTGCTCTCAACTAGGCATAAAGTGAGACGCGTATCTGTTCAACCTCTCCACTAAAAGGTTTCTTTGCGCACCGACTGAATTTTTTTTCTTTTCCAACTTTACTTCGTTATCGAGAAGAAAGATATTCTTAAGTCTGCGTACAAGACTGCTCAACATTACTACCGATAAGCTTTTGGATATGTCCAGAATGCCAGCCGTAACGAAAATGGGGAAAATGCGTCGAAATCGTCAAATCCGCCAAGCTGATTTTGCTTTGACGAATTTGACCAATATTCGCTAAAATCGTCAAATCCATCAACATTCAGTCGGTTTGACGAAATGTCGTCAAATCTGCCATTTTCGTTACTGCGCGCATTTCTGGACATAAGTGAGCTTTTGATAACTTCCGAAGGTTTCCTCGGTTTCTTTGGCATTTAGCGACAAGGGGTATGCTTCCTTCCCTAAATTGTATGCTTTACTCCTGGGTGCAGGCACTGTGAGGGTAAGAAGCTTGACTGTAAATATGACCGTGCCTCGCTTTGAACTGGACCTTTCGATTTAGAGTTCATTTGTCCTTTGCGTCTCTCCATCCATCATTATTTGCTATAGCAAAAGGTTTTTACCACTTTATCGTAGCCAGAAGTTTGCTGGTTAGTGGGTCTCATTTTAATTCAACGGATTTTGTGTTTTCTTGGGGAGTTTATGTCACAGTACCCCACTAAAATTAAATACGGAGAGACTGTGTTGGATGTAAGAGAACGATAAAGAGCTTGCGATTTGATATCTGACGGTTATACGA